TTTTTTCCCTGAAGCAAAACCTTATAAACCATGAGACGAATGCATGTTGAAGAGAAATCACATAATTGTACTGAATGCGGTAGTGTTCTTTTGAATCTCATCCCTTACTCAACATTTGAGAAGTTATACAGGGAAAAAACTATATAAATGTAGTAAATGTGGGAAGCCATCATCCAGAAGGGAAACTTCCTTTCTCATAAGAAACATCATATTGCAAAGAAACCTTCTGAATGTGGAAAGGCTTCTATTCCAATGGCAGGCCTCATTGGATACCAGAGAAATTATACTGGAAAACCGTATGCATGTAAGGAATGTGGGGAAACCTTTAATGGCAAATCATATCTTTCTGAGCATGAGAAAATTCATACTGGAGAGAAACCATTTGAATGTAATCAATGTGGAAGAGCCTTTAGCCAGAAGCAATATCTCATTAAACATCAGAACATTCATAGTGGAAAGAAACCTTTTGTATGTAATGAATGTGGAAAAGCATTTAGCCAGAAAGAAAACCTCATTATCCATCAGAGAATCCATACTGGAGAGAAACCTTTTGAATGTAAGGGATGTGGGAAAGCCTTCATTCAGAAGTCAAGCCTCATTAGACACCAGAGAAGTCATACTGGAGAGAAACCCTATGCATGTAAGGAATGTGGGAAAGCCTTCAGTGGCAAATCAAATCTCACTGAACATGAGAAAATTCATATTGGAGAGAAACCCTATAAATGTAATGAATGTGGAACCATCTTCAGGCAGAAGCAATACCTCATTAAACATCATAATATTCATACAGGAGAGAAACCCTATGAATGTAATAAATGTGGAAAAGCCTTCTCTCGAATCACATCACTTATTGTACATGTGAGGATTCACACAGGTGATAAACCTTATGAATGTAAAATATGTGGGAAAGCTTTTTGTCAAAGCTCATCTCTTACTGTGCATATGAGAAGTCATACAGGTGAGAAACCCTATGGTTGTAATGAATGTGGAAAAGCCTTCTCGCAGTTCTCAACTCTTGCTCTACATATGAGAATCCATACAGGTGAAAAACCTTATCAGTGTAGTGAATGTGGAAAAGCTTTTAGCCAGAAGTCACATCACATCAGACACCAGAGAATTCACACCCATTAAACCTCTGTGAATGCCTTTAATTTAAGAAAGTTTTCAACAAAATTATGCTTAACAGCACATCAGAAAATTGATTTTATAGCCAAGTGACATCAATGTTGAAAATTCCAACAACTCAAAACTTAATACTGAAATTTTTAACAAGAAAAACTTTCATAGTGTAATGAAAGCTTGTACCCCTAGAGTTTCCACAACAAACAGTGTTAATGCTGTACTTTTAGGAGAATTCCCATTAAAGTCAGGATCCAGG